GGAGGGACGTACGCAGCTATTACGATAGCATGCGAGAATTCCCGTGGTAGATAGTAAGGTCTCATACTAACAGCTAGCAGTTCAATGTCTTTACAGCAGATTTTCTCTTTAATAGTGATGTGCCCAGGATTGCACCATCTGTTATTTACAAATATTGYCAGTCCTCCGCCTTTCCTCTTACCACTCTCCGCTGTCCTGTCCGCCCGTATGAGATGAAAGCCCTCCAGAGAAACGAGCGTGTCCGTAGTTAGCAAATTTAGCCATGTCTCCGTAAACAGCATGACGCTACAYTCGCGGAACTCCCTCTCGTGTCGGGTCAGCGCCGATAACTCATCCATCTTATTTGGAAGAGATCTCACGTTTCCCATGATGACAGACGGAAAMACGGGTTTGTAGCGTCTCCTTCTCGCACGGCGCTGTACCCCCGCACGAGTCCCCCGTCGCTTCCTCCGCAACTCGCCGGGGATCTGGGGTCGCTCCCCTGGGAGCACCGCTGTTCCCCTGAGTGCTAACAGCTGCTCCCTGGTGTAAGCATGGAGATCCTGGACGCTGCTCGCTGGTACCAAACTCGCGTGTCCAAAACACGAGAAAAACAWAATAAAAAATACTACAAACTTCGCAGGCTTAATGTCCATGGTGAACGGACAGTATGAGATGTACTCAGAATTAAAAAGTGCTATAAAAGAAGGAAAAATAAGAGAAAGAAGCTCACAGAGAGCAAGAGCTGCTGTAACAGGCTGCCACTCCCGCGGCGCCATGGACAGTCTGATGAAACATCAGAGTCCACGGAGCCTGAACTGGACAGTCTCAGATATATCAGAGTCCTCTGTACGTTAACTGGACAGTCTCACAAGAGTCCACTGGTCCTGAGCTGGACAGTCTCAGATACATCAGAATCCTGCGGTCCTAAACCAGAAAGTCTAAGAAACAAGAGTCTACTTGCCCTAAACCGCATATTCTCAGATAAAACAGAGTCTACTGGTACTGAGCTTGACAGTCTCAGATACCTCAGAGTCCTCTGGTCCTAAAGCGGACAGTCTCACAAGAGTCCACTGGTCCTAAACTGGACAGTCCCAGATAGAACAGAGTTCCCTGGTATTGAGCTGGACAGTCTCAGATACTTCAGAGTCCTCTGGTCCTGAGCCGGATATTCTCAGATACTTCATAGTCCTCTGGTCCTAAAGCGGACAGTCTCACAAGAGTCCACTGGTCCTAAACTGGACAGTCTCAGATAGAAAAGAATCCCCTGGTACTGAGCTGGACAGTCTCAGATAATTCAGAGTCTTGTGGTCCTAAACCAGAAAGTCTAAGA